AAGCTATGGGCAGATGCAGCCCACCATGCTCCACATACTCATAAGTAAAATATTGTGGGAAATGTATCAGGTTGTCCAAGAAAGTTGTCAGGAACACCCATAACCTTCAAGTGGAAAGGAACAGAGTTGGGAATTACAGCAAGAAGATCTATTGTTGGAGTATCCAAGACATATAACAGACCATGGGCAGAGGAAACCCAACATCCTATCACTAAAATATTGTGGGAAATGTATCAGGATGTCTAAGAAAGTTGCCAGGAACGCCCAAAATCAGGTGGACAGGAACAGAGTTGGGAATTATGGCAAGAAGATCTTATTGTTGGAGTATCCAAGACATAAGAAATTATGGGCAGATGCAGCCCACCATGCTCCACATACTCATAAGTAAAATATTGTGGGAAATGTATCAGGGTGTCCAAGAAAGTTGCCAGGAACGCCCAAAATCTTCAGGTGGACAGGAGCAGAGTTGGGAATTACGGCAAGGAGACCTTGAACTTAGAGTATCCAAGTTATATTTAAAAACATGGGCAGATACAGCCCGCCATGCTCCAAATATAACTAAAATATTGTGGAAAATGTATCAGGATGTCCTGAAAGCTGCAAGGAACACCCATAACCTTCAGGTGGACTGGAACGGAGTTGGAAATTACGGCAAGGAGATCTTGTTGTTGGAGACATATTAGAAACCCTGGGCAGAGGCAACCCACCATGTTCCACATATAACTAAAATCTAAAATAATTAAGTGAAACCAGCATCAGAGAGGCACACAGAATAAACATTTTCTGCTTCGAAAATACAATGATAGGTGTCATGGTTTGCCTGCATGCACAACACTATTACTTTTAAAAGTCAATAAAGTCAGCAACCACTAACTACGCAGGAACAATGAGGAAGAATTTACAAATCACACAAACCGGGGAAAGCCACTTCAAGACAAGAGAAAGTGGAATTTCAGAAAAAGTCGGCGAACATGTTTTACATTTTTAGTTTCCTGATGCTCATACAGAAGTCTTCCAAAGTTTACACATCAAGGGAAGAACAATCTGCTAAGTATTCAAAGTAGCTGTACTGGAATATGTCTACGTCTCATTTGCAGGCAGCACTTCCTCTTTTGTAAAAGTCCATGGTTCACCTGATTTTCATACTATTTATGTTTTATTGCAGTTTTACTTTACTAGCTTTAGAGATGCGCACAGTTTGAGGGCAGCTTAAAGAAGAGCTGCTTGGGATGACCCTAGCAACCAATCACATTGGCTCTCTCAAGTCATACAACAAGACACACTTACAGACACTTTGACATGTGACTTGGAAAACCCCAATCAGCCTCTTTAGCACTGAAGTCCAAGTGTCATTAGACCTTGGCATGGAAGCGTGCGATTTCGGCACTGATAAGGTATCAAAGTCAATGGTACCGAGCAACACCGCATAGATAGTGGTTCACGCCCTATCATACATTGCTGTAGCATGCCATAAGAAGCTTGTTTTACCATGCATTATCTCAGCCAGAGGGGTGAGTCTGGCTTAGAAGTAGCAAATGAATGCTAAACGGATGTAAGAAATGGCTTCCAATGGAGTAAGCTACGCACATAGCATGTGGTAGTGACCCCCATGCAGGGGTGTATCTAACACAAGGCAAACTAGGCATTTGCCTAGGGCGGCACATTCCAGGGGGGCAGCAGAAAACACTAACCCAAACCAATTAAGCACGACTTGCCTTTGGGCATACTGGGTACTTGCCCAGTGGGCCGAGGCTGGGCGGAACAGAATCAGGCAGCGGCGGCTGCCTAATGAGGCAAACTAGGTGTTGCCGCAAGGCCCTAAGAGTGGTTGCCTAATTAGAGAGCTGCCTGGTGGAGGGGGGGGGGCAGTGAGTTGTGGTCCGGCTGGCTTTGTACAGGAGGTGGAGAAGAAGCAGCAGGTGGCTCGGGGCTGGCCATAGCATGTGATCTGATGGCGGGATGTCCCAGAAGCAGGCTGGGGACTGCAATGTATTCTTTAGATTGAGGGGGTGCCCGAGTTTAGTCTTGCCTAGGGCAGCACAAAACCAAAATACACCACTGCCCCCATGAGCTCACAATGCTCCAATCATGTACAGCTGATTGCCCCAAGATGCTACATGCGTAGCTTACTCCATATGAAGCTATGTGTTCCAACTGTGTAGTGACCAATTGCTATTCCTTGTGATGGACTAGCTAAAAATCTCTTAGGTAGCTCTAGTCTAATGAGGTGACCGCCACCAAGTTGTTAAATCGCTCAATAGCACGAGATTATCAATTCCCCCATGTAGCTTAGTCCTCAATGGCTTTACCCTTGGCTCCTAATTGATAACATCCCATTGTGGACTATAGTTTATTTCAGAAGGCAGTGAAAATTAAAGAGCAATGTCGGCTAAATAGGTAATACATGTGCATAGGACTTGTCATAGTCCCGTGATTCTGCTCCTATTTCTTCAACAAAAGGAACTCTTTTCTTAGCCCTCTAGACCTTGGCCACTGCCCCACCTATTGCTTGTAGTGGGTAGTGGAAGTAAAAAGGAAAGAACCCCACCAGGGCCGGATTTTCCACAAGGTCACCGAGGCCCGGCCTCGGGGCAGCAGGCAGTAGAGGGGGATCAGGGATGTGGAATTCCTATCATGAGTTATTTTAACTGTTATCTCGCAATCATTTTCTCATCAAAACACTGAAATATTTCTTCGGTCACCGCAATCCTTTATCTCTCATGAATCATCATTTTATCTCCACCTGGCACTGCTCCCTTACTGGCTCTCCTCCATAGACACCATATAGGACTTCACAGTCAATGCCAACCAGAAGCTGTCAGTGATTGAACACACAAAACCCATGAGATAGTCTTTGTGAACTAGCCTAGACGCCCAATAAAAATAAAAGAACATGAGTTCAGCTCATCCGTGCGATAAAAACGTAAAGTGGAGGTCAAGCCAAAAACTGTTGTTTTTTTTTTGGGGGGTGGGGTTTGGATAGATTTGGGAAGGATTACAACCCTGGTTTGGTTTTTACTCCTATTAAGGGATCCATGAGAAAGAGTTCCTACCACATTTATACAATTAAAGTATTTACAGTACATATTCTTAATTAGCAGCTTCAAAACAAGACATCCCTGACCTATCTAGCTGCATGTACTGTGAAGACATTCATCCTCAAGGATTACAACAAAGACTTAGAAACACCTGCTGTGTGTTTACATTAGAGCGCTGGCAGGCTGCCAAGGTGCTGCTCTCCATAGAATAAAGCTGTGATTTCAGTGCCTCTGTTGTGAATTTTGAAAATATACACTGAGTGGCCAGATTATTATGACCACCCCATCAGTACTGCGTTGGGCCACAAGATGACTCCACGAGATGACTTCGTTGGGCCGCCTCGTGATTCCACGAGATGTTGAAAGGTGATGCGAGGAATCTGACACTGTTGCCCTTCTGTTGTCTTGTACTAGTCTTGCCACTCTCCGTTCTGCCCTAACATTGACTAGTCGCTGACGGCCACAATTCGCACGTTCAGACCCAGATTTTCGGCTGACAGTCCAGTCTTTAAACACTTTAACAATGAGCCCCTCTTGAACATTTAACTAATTCTGCTGTTTTGCTGATACTCGCTCCATGGCTCCGAGCGCCAACAATCATCCCACGTTCAAAGGCTGTTAAATCGCGTTGTTTACCCGTATCTTCAGAATAAAATCCCTTCTACTGTCGTGGTAAACAACCTGCTTCCCTATTTATAATGGTCTGGCCCTCTAGCAACTTCAGCGCCAAATTATAGCTAATTTGCCTACAAACGTCAGGTGGTCATAATAATCTGGCCACTCAGCGTATATCTCCACAATGCTTATAGCTACAGAGGTGAATGAGGACAAAGCGTTTTTACTGCTTGTTTAGAATATGTAAATAGTTTAATCTGAACAGTGTAGGTGCAGGTTCACTTTGAGCATGATGCGTGCAGTATTAAATTACCATGTGTTATTTACAAAAATTATGTTTTTCAGTTTCACAAGTAGATTGACCTTTAGGTGAACTTTAAAATACATTTTCTTCTCTTCTTCCCATCTAACTGCCTCCTAACCCAATACCCTGACATCCATCCTCTTCACCACCTAACCCAATACTCTGATTCCCATCCTCTTCACCACCTAATCTAATACTCTGACACCCATCTTCTTCTCCACCTAACCCAATACTCTGACACCCATCCCCTTCACCACCTGACCTAATAGTCTGACACCCATCCTCTTCACCACCTAACCCAATACTCTGACACCCATCCTCTTCTCCACCTAACTCAATACTCTGACACCCATCCTCTTCTCCATCTAACCCAATACTCTGACACCCATCCTCTTCACCACCTAACCCAATACTCTGACACCCATACGCTTCACCACCTAACCCAATACTCTGATTCCCATTCCCTTCACCACCTAACCTAATAATCTGACACCCATCCTCTTCTCCACCTAACCCAATACGCTGTCACCCATCCTCTTCTCCACCTAACCCAATACGCTGTCACCCATCCTCTTCACCACCTAACTGAATACTCTGACACCCATCCCCTTCACCACCTAACCCAATACCCTGACCCTGCCCCCTAACGCAATACCTGGACCCCCACTCCCTGTTTAAATGACCCTAACCCTCCTCCCATCACCTTCTTTAACATAATGATCCCCAATCCCTAACCCAATACCTTGACACCCATCCCCCTCACCATCTAACCCAATAACCTGACCCCCCTCCTAATCCAATACCCTGACCCCCCAATCCCTGTTTAAATAACCCTAAAAAGTTGCTTTTTGAATGTGTTATATTTTGTGTTGGTGTCAATGCTGCAAGACTCATAAAAGTGAGTAAGTGAGTGTAAAATGATATAACAAGTCGAGTTTGTAGCCAGCAGAAGTTCTCTCCCCGTGAGCCCCCGTAACACCCTTTTTAGAACGTTTCAACCGCAGCGAAAGGCTCTGGTGGCAGGTGCACTGTGCACGACTTACTTGGTAGTTGCTTGCACAAATTTCCAGGCTCCCTCCGTTCATCTCTGCTCGCGAGACGCCCACAACTACTTCATCGCTGTCAAATGCCCTCTCGCCTCATTCCGCATCCAGCCGTAGAAGAACGGAACAGCAGAAAAAAGCATAAAAAAGTACAAAAAGAAGAGATGCTGCAAAAAAAAAAAGTTTCTAGCAATGGGGAACAATACAGTGAGTGGAGGAGGAGGCGGTTTAGATAACGAGGAAGTGTCAGGGCCACTTTGGTATGCTCTCACTGTATACCGAGCAGAGTGCTTCCTGTTTTATCTTTTTTACACATGTGTGTCGTGACGCAACTGCTGCATAGCAAATGAGCTCTTAAAGGCGCAGGCACTGTCTGGTGTCATAGGACGAATGCAAACGCTGCCGCAGCTGAGTTCTCCTTCCGAGAATCCTACCTGACTGGTCCTTTGGATTCAAGGGATTTGGAATCAGTGGCTGGGAGCAATCATGTAGTACAAGAGTTCTGGCTTCACTTGCTGCATGCTTGCTTCAGGTCAGTGACTCGAAAGGTACTGAATGCAGAGGACCGCCAAGCCAAACACAAAGTAAAATGTCTGTAATAACTAAATCAAAGCAACTGGACCTGCTGTGTTTTTCTTGAAGACTTTTGATGGTCATCCAACTAGATTTCTCAATTCAGAATGACTTGAATGTTGCTCCAATCAACATAATATGTTTATCATAACCAGCACGGGATCAGAGACCTAATGGAGGTAAAGTGTTGACTGCATTTGCATCTTTGGAGCTAGCGGGTGTTATTAAGCCATCCTGAATCTTTGGATTTAAGGGATTTGGAATCAGTGGCTTGGAGCAAGCAGGAAGACCAGTAGCCTTGGCTTCACTTGCTGCATGCTTGTTGCAGTGCTTTCCTGGAAAAGTACCGGAAGCAGAGGACTGCCAAGTCAAACACCAAGAAAAATGTCTGTAAAAAATAAATCAAAGCAACTGTATTTTTCATGAAGACGTTCCGCTGGTCATCTGACCAGCTTTCTCAATTCAAATTGACTTGTATGAAAATTATCTGTGAATAAATATGCTGAATGTTGCTCCAATCCACAGAATCTGTTTATCATAACCAGCATGGGGTCACAGAGCTAAAGGAGGTAAAGTGTTGATTGCATTTTTGATTGGAGCTAGCAGGTGAGAGGAGCTAGCAGGTGATTGGAACTAGCAGGTGATTGGAACTAGCAGGTGATTGGAGCTAGCAGGTAATTGGAGCTAGCAGGTGATTGGAGCTAGCAGTTGATTGGAGTTAGCAGATGATTAGAGCTAGCAGGTAATGGGAGCTAGCAGGCGATTGGAGCTAGCAGATGATTGGAGCTAGCAGGTGATTGGAGCTAGCAGATGATTGGAGCTAGCAGGTGATTGGAGCTAGCAGGTGATTGGAGTTAGCAGGTGATTGGAGCTAGCAGGTGTTACTAAGCCACCCAGAGAGAGGTGTAAAAACAGCATTCAATCGATATCTTACCCCCCTCCCCCACCTCTATTCAAGCTTGGCTTCTCCTTTTTAACATAAATAGCACATAGGATGCTGTTTTAACACCTGTCTCTGGGTCCAAAAGTCCAAAAGAAATGATGTACACCACAGCGCTCAGCATAAAGAGTTTCTCCAACTTCAGAACGTTGAGGGAGAAGGCTGCCATCTTCAAGGCCACTGGGAGGTATCCTCACAACACATGACGTCAGCTCTCCGTTCGGATGCACACGCGACAGCATCAGCATGGCAGGCATGGAGGCTGATCCGAAGTTTCTGCATTCTGACCTATGGTGAGAGATTAGTCCACGCTTTCTATTGGGACTATACTTGCCCTGTATTACCAGCACGAGTGCTCTCATTGGTGTACCACTGATTAGTAGGCTGGTATGTTTTTGGCTGGCTGTCAATTGGTTGTATGCCACAGGTACTTCACATAGTATATATTCCCGTGCTTTTCTTTACCATACTAGCTCCCAGGAAGGGGTAAGCTCAGGAAGGGGTAAGCTCCCCCGAAACGCGTCAGCTACCCGGTCTTCTCTGGGACCTGCTTTGCATTCGATTGTTTATTCCAATATACCTCTATGTGAGTAGTTTTCATGTTATTTTTATTGCTCTATCCAATAAATGTTATTACACCGGGAGAAGGCGCTGTTTGTCTATTTGTTTTAACACCTCTCTCTGTGTGGCTTAATAACACCTGCTAGCTCCAATCATGCAAATACCATCAACACCTTGGTCCAGCTGCCTATTTTTTTTACATGTATACCAGGGGCGTCCCGAGGCCGAGTGACACCCGGAGCGGAGAAGGGGCGACACCCAGCCGTGACGTCATCACGCATGCACGGTCCTCTTATTGATGCCTGGCGGCGGCCATCTTGGTGATGGACGCCGGGAGAGAGAGGAGGGGACGTTCACCCGGAGGGATGAGGTTTGCCGCCGGGTCCCTTCTTCTCTCCTGACACTGTCGGGCTCTCGGTCCATGACCGAGTGCCCGATTTTTCACAGGGGGTGGCAACCAAAATGACTGTCAATCATTTTGGTGGCACCCCTCCAATGGTGGCACCCGAGTGTGGGCCGCACCCCCCTTGTGACGCCACTGATGTATACCATGACTTGGATGAATGAGAACCTTCACAGAGAGCAATAAAAATATGTAATGGCAGCCGGTTTATATTGGACCCCTTCAGAACACTGTCCCTGCACTGATCTCTGCATCACTCCCACCTCAAGCTGGACTCCAAGATACACATTACTGCAGCTATGTATTCATTAATCATTAAATGTATTTTTTAAATGAAAGCAGCGTGAGTACCTAAGTCTAATTTGTTATCAGCCTCTTGCAGTCAACTGTATAGCAGAGCTCAGACTGGGAGGGAGAGATGCAGCACAAATAGCCAGTCAACTGTGCTGCAGTGTTCATGTGCTAAATAGCAGCTTGCTGATAGGCGTACAGAGCAGAGTGACAGAGAGGAGAGCACATCATTCTGCAGCTTCTTGTTTGCCTGTCTAGTCACAGGCTGGGGGAGGGACAAGACTTGTAAGGGCTACTTAACTACAGCAGAGAAATATCAGGTCTCCTGCTGTGCTGTGTGACAGAGCTGTGCACATCTCAGGATTGGATGAAGAGAAAGCCAAATCCTGGGGCGGGTAAAAAAAGCTGGATTCGGCTTTCTATAATGGCTTCCTACCCCCACTTACACTTAAAGTCATTATGGATTGATGCGGCAGCAGTCATGTGATCGCCAAAGCAGGAAGCAGCGCTTTCCTTAAAACAGGGCTTGCAGAAAATTCAAAGGCCCTGCTAAGGGGGCAACTTCTGAGCTGCAATGCGGACAGAAAGCATCCACGATTGTGGGCTCCAGCAGCAGCCATTTTGGAGAAGCCGATCGTTCACATTTTATATAGAAGCCCCCTCTATCATTTCCTGGTGGCGTATCATTTTGCTTGATCTCAGCAGTTGTTCAGCAAGGGTGTTGATTGCACTTGTCTGACATATACTGTATATGGCCACTAGAGGGCAAATCAATAGGTCTGAATATGACATACCATCACGTACAGGACATGCACAGAAAGCATCTCAAAAATGTAAAAGTAAAAAAAAATAGTTTTTGGAAAATGTTACAGTAGTCGCACACTGGGCACTCGCTGAAAAAATACACAACTGTTTCCTCTAAGTCACAGCAGGGTGTTTGATGTCGTGTTCAGCCAGTACAACCTGTTTAATCAGGTCCAGGGTCATGTCTGCGGTCTGCATGCAGGGGTATGGGGCCGCTTTAAGTCAGTTTACCTTATAGGAAAACGGATGCAGCCAGGGCTATAGTTAGACATCCTGTAGCCCATGGCGTACCTGAATAGTGACGTCCTTTTGTACAAGCTCCGCCCCTAGTGTCAAGAGTTAATGCGGTGTATTTATATAACGTTTGAACAGTCGCTCGCTCTGCGAACATCTGACTAGCAATTTCCTATGCTCCTCGGCTCCATCTAGTGGCCGTAATGAGATGTGATTATACAAGTCAGATGTTCGCACAGCGAGCGACTCTGCAAGCGGTTTATAAATACACCCCAAACAGTATGTCAACCCCAACAATGAACTGCGCTTATTTGCTCCCTTCTGGCCTGTTAAATATTCCATTGAGCGTTATTTCTTTTCCATAAGTTCAAAAATGAATAGAAAACCTGTTGGTTCTGCTAGAAACCCACTGAGCTCTTACCTTTCTCTGCCTCTGCTACATTGATAACTCAAGCAGTGTTATCAGTCCTGCCCTGTGAACTGCAGAACAACAACACCCTATGCTATGGAGATGAGGAGGGCGTGAGGTGTTTTGTAGTCCTAACCCTAGTGTGGCCACGCTTCTCCTCCATAGATACAGTATGTTGAATGAGCGTTGTTACTAGGGATGCACCGATAATGCAACAAGTACTGATACTTTGCTTTCGGTACTCATCGATACCGCCCAGAAGCCGGCTCCATGTTGTCTGGCCGGCTTGATTGTGCTTGGCCAGGAAATCGGCATCCCAGCCAGTCAGCATCGAGCCGGCTTCCCGGCCAATCAGGAAGCACCGGCTTCACAATCAATCAGCATCGAGCCGGCGGTATCGGGGAAGGTATTGGAGCATTGCAATACTTGTACTCGCCCAAATACTCGGTATCAGCACTGCTACCAATACTAGTATCGGTATCGGTGCATCCCTAGTTGTTATGCTAGGCCAGAAAGCGTCTGGATGTCCATGTGGAAAAAAAAAAAAAGGGAAAAGAAAGCCTGAAATAAAAGAAAAATGAAGCCACCATGTCTATGGTATGTATGGCAAGTTTGGATAAGTACAGCAAGTTTCAATATTTCAATACATTACATTTTGCTCTTGGGTTTAGATACACCTAAGCTTTAATTAGAACCGATACCAGAAGCATAATTGGAGGCAGCACAACGTGTTTTTATATTCTCAGCTGCTTTTTTAACTGCACAGAACAACAAACGACAAAGAAAAGACGGTTTAACCCATAAAGAATCTTCTGACTCCTTTTGACACTCCATACAGGTCTTTGCTGAATTCAGCCGCAATTATCCACACAATCCCAATGTGCCAA